ATATCTACACGCACATACATATCTACACACACGCACATCTACACATCTACTCACAGACCTACACACACACACACACACACACACACACACACACACACACACACACACACACACATCTACTCACAGACCACACACACACACACACACTTACACACACACGCACATCTACACACACTTACACACACACGCATATCTACACATACACACACACACACACACACACACACACACACACACACACATACACACATCTACTCACAGACCACACACACACATACACACACACACACTCCTTTTTCCAAACTTGACAGGATGGTACGAAAAACATCGGCAGCGCAACTTCATACGGCGACGAAGACGACGAAGACGATGATGAGGACGACGACGATGATGATGGCTTCACAAAATCTTCAACTCCTCTCGCCATCATCCACGAAACAACGACACCAAACGGCGACTTTGACGACGACGACGATAATGACGACGACGACGACGACGATGGTGGTGGTGGTGGTGGTGGTGGCGGTGGTGATGGCGATTATGGTGAAAGGATTTTTGGCGGGAAAGATGCGAGTTTCATCACAACAGACGTCGTTGGCCTAGAGGGTAGTGAGGCGAAGTAGGTTTTGATGATGATGGTGATGATTATGATGGTGATTATGGTGGTGATGGTGATGATTATGATGGTGATTATGGTGGTGATAGTGATGATCAACATGAATATTCATTTAATTTTTTCTTCGCCTCCAAATTTTCTAGTTCCTTCAAGGTTGAAGAATGCGGACTGATCCAATCAGGTCAAGTTGTGATGATGATGGTGACGGTGGTGATAATGATGTTGGTGATGATAATGATTTTGGTGATGATAATGATGATGATACAGATGATGATGATGATGATGATGATTGTGATGACGACGATGATGATGATGATCCGACAGGAGCTGATAATGATACCGTTGATGAGGATTCCGAATTGAAATCCATTCCTTCATCCCCGAGCCCCGCCGACGTGAAAGCAAGTGATGGTGGTGACGGTGGTGATGATGATTCACGTCTTCATTCATTCATTCATTCATTCGCCAACATCACTTAATTATCCGCTAGTTTAACAAATCGGAAATTAACCAATCAACCAATTAACCAACCAACCAATCAATCAACTAATCAACCGTCCAACCAACCATCCAACCAATCAACCATCCAACCAACCAATCAATCAACCATCCAACCATCCAATCAACCAATCAATCAATCAACCAACAAATTAACCAACCAACCAATCAACTAATCAACCAATCAATCAACCATCCGACCAACCTAACGACCAACCTACCGACCAACCAACCGACCAACCAACCAACCAATCAACGAGCAGGACAGCCGTATGGCCGATAGTTTTTTATTCTCCGAAGAATTCTTCACGCACGATACATTTGAGATGACGTTAGCGAAGATGGAACAGGAACTGATGAGAAAAAATGGCGCCAATGATCTGTCGTCCAATGGGGGCGGCAGTCCCTGTGGGAGGTCCAACGTGGAGAGCCCGTCTGCCCCTTCCAAGTGTATGGTTGATGGCGGTAGTCATTTGTTCGGCGGTCGCTGCAGTATATCTGCTAAACATTTTAATTCAACGTAGGTCTTGCTTTTTTTCATTCATTCATTCACTAATTCGTTCTTCAATCATTCGTTCGTTTATAGATTGATTGATTGAATGATTGATTGATTGATTGATTGATTCATTCATTCATTCATTCATTCATTTGTTCTTCAATCATTATTCGTTCGTTTATAGATTGATTGATTGAATGATTGATGGATTGATTGATTGATTGATTCATTCATTCATTCACTAATTCGTTCTTCAATCATTCGTTCGTTTATAGATTGATTGATTGAATGATTGATTGATTGATTGATTCATTCATTCATTCATACATTCATTCATTCATTCATTCATTTGTTCTTCAATCATTATTCGTTCGTTTATAGATTGATTGATTAAATGGTTGATGGATTGATTGATTCATTGATTCATTCATTCATTCACTAATTTGTTCTTCAATCATTCGTTCGTTTATAGATTGATTGATTGAATGATTGATTGATTGAATGATTGATTGATTGATTGATTGATTGATTGATTGATTGATTGATTCATTCATTCATTCATTCATTCATTCATTCATTCATTCATTCATTCATTTGTTCTTCAATCATTATTCGTTTGTTTATAGATTGATTGATTGAATGATTGATGGATTGATTGATTGATTGATTCATTCATTCATTCATTCATTCATTCGTTCGTTCGTTCTTCAATCATTCGTTCGTTTATAGATTGATTGATTGAATGATTGATTGATTGATTGATTGATTGATTGATTGATTCATTCATTCATTCATTCATTCATTCATTCATTCATTCATTCATTCATTTGTCTATTATTGTCGAACAAAGAGAATTTTAGAACATTAGTTGAATGATTGATTGATTGATT